ATAAGATGAACTCAAAGAGATCCACACCAAAATACATTATAATTAAAATGTCAAAAGTTAAAGATAAAGAGAGAATCTTAAAAGCAGGAAGAGAAAACTAACTTGTTATGAACAAGGGAACTCCCATAAGTCTATAAGCAGATTTTTCAGAAGAAACTTTGCAGGCCAGAAGGGAGTGGCATGATATATTCAAAATGCTGAAAGCAAAAAATTTCCTGCCAAGAATACTCTACCAGGTGAGATTATCATTCAGAATCGAAGGAGAGATAAAGATTTTTCCAGACAAGCAAAAACTAAAGGAGTTCATCACCACTAAACCAGTCTTACAAAAAATGTTAAAAGGGCTTTTTTTTAAGATGAAAAGAAAGGGCACTAATTATTGACAAGAAAGCATAACAAATTAAAAATATCACTGGTAAAGATAAATGTATAGTAAAGGTAGTGGATTAATCAATTATAAAGCTAATGTGAAGGCTAAAAGACATAAGTAGTAAAAATAACTATTATAACTACAACAATTGGTTAAGGGATATACAAAATAAAATGTGATATGAAAAACATGTAATGCGTAGGGGTAAAAATGCAGAGTTTTAGAATGTGTTCAAACTTAACTTGCTATTAGTTTAAAATAAACTGATATATATATATAGAATTTATATGCTGAAATATGCGAGCCTCATGATATCCACAAAGTAAAAATCTATAGTAGATACACAAAAGATAATGAGAATGAAATCTAAACATAACTCTAAAGAAAGTCATCAAATCACAAGAGAGAAAAGCAGAAGAAAGGACTAGAGAGGAAATATGAAATAGCCAGAAAACAATTAACAAAATGGCAGTAAGTACATACCTACCTACAATTACTTTAAATGTAAACGGACAAATTCTCCAATCAAAAGACATAGAATGGCTGAATGGATTAAAAAAAACAAGACCCATCTATATGCTGCCTACAAGAGACTCATTTCAGATGTAAGGACACGCACAGACTAAAAGTGAAGGGATGGAAAAAGATGTCTTATGCAAATGGAAACCAAAACAAAGCTGGAGTAGCTATACTTATATCAGACAAAATAAGACTTTAAAACAAAGACTGTAATAAGAGACAAAGAAGGGCATTACATAATGATAAAGGGGTCAATCCAACAAGAAGATATAATATTAGTAAAGATCTATGCACTCAGCATAGAGGTACCTGGGTATATAAAGCAAATATTAACAGACCTAAAGGGAGAAATAGAGAGAAGTACAATAATAGTAAGGGATTTTAATACCCCACTTACATCAATGGATAGATCATCTAGACAGAAAATCAATGAGGAAACATAGGCCTTAAACAACAAATCAGACCAGAGGGACTTGATACATATACAGAACATTCCATCCAAAATCAGCAGACTACACATTCTTCTCAGGTACACATGGAACATTCTACAGGATAGATTACATGTTAGGCCACAAAACAAGTCTCAATAAATTTAAGAAGATGGAAATTATATAAAGTATCTTTTCAGACCACAATGGTATGAAACCAGAAATCAATCACAAAAAGAAAACTGGAAAAATACAAATATGTGAAGATCAAACAACATGCTAGTGAACAACCAATGGGTCAATGAAGAGATCAAAGGGGAAATCAAATAATACCCTGAGAAAAATGAAAATGGAATTACAAAATTCCAAAATTTATGGATGTAGCAAAAGCAGTTATAAGAGGGAAATTCATAGTGATACAGGCCCACCTCAAGAAACAAGAAAAATCTCAAATAAACAATTTAACTCTACACCAAAAGGAACTAGAAAAAGAAGAACAAACAAAGGTCGAAGTTAGTGGAAGGAAAGAAGTAATAAAGATCAGAGTGGAAATAAATGAAATAGAGACTTAAAAAAAAGAAAAAAGGAAAGATCAACGAAAGGAAGAGCTGGTTCTTTGAAAAGAGAAACAAAACTGACAAACTTTTAGCCAGACTCACCAAGAAAAAAAGTGAGAGGACTCAAAATCAGAAATGAAAGAGGAGATGCTACAATTGATACTACAGAAACACAAAAGATCATGAGACTACTATGAACAATTATATCCCAACAAATTGGACATCCTAGAAGAAATGAATAAATTCCTAGAAACATATAATCTTCTAAACCATAAAGAAATAGAAAATCTGAACAGACTGATCACTAGAGACTGAACCAGTAATAACAAACTTCCCAACAAACAAAAGTCCAGGACCAGATGGCTTCACTTCTACCAAACATTCAAAGAAGATTTAAAACCTATCCTTCTAAAACTCTTCCAGAAGGAGGGAATGCTTCCAGACTCATTTTATAAGGCCATCATTACTCTTATATCAAAATCAAAGACACCACAAGAAAAGAAAATTACAGGCCCATATTCCTGGTGAACATAGATGCAAAATCCTGAACAAAATACTACCAAACTAAATTCGACAACACATTAAAAGGGTCATGCATCTTGATCAAGTGGGATTTTTCTAGGGATGCAAGAATGGTTCAACATCTGCAAATCAATCAATGTGATACACCACATTAACAAAATGAAGGATAGAAATCATATGATCATGTCAACAGATGCAGAAAAAGCATTTGACAAAATTCAATTCCATTCATGATAAAAAAACTCTCAACGAAGTGGGTATAGAGGGAATGGACCTCAACATAAGAGACCATATATGACACACCTAGAGCTAACATCATACACAACCATGAAAAGTTGAAAGGTTTTCCTTTAGGATCAGGAACAAGACAAAGATGCCCACTCTCACCACTTTTATTCAACACAGTATTGCAAATCCTACCCAGAGCAATTAGGCAAGAAAAAGAAATAAAAGGCACCCAAAAAAGAAAGGAAGAAGTAAAACTGTCCCTATTTGCAGATGACATGATACCATATATAGAAAACCCTAAATACTCTACCAAAAAACTGTTAGAACTAACAAATATATTGAGTGAAGTTGCAAGATACAAAATCAATGTACAAAAATCAGTTGTGTTTCTCTACACTAAGAACAAACTATCATAAAGAGAAATTAAGAAAACAATCACATTTACACCTGGACAAAAAAGAATAAAATACCCAGGAATAAATTTAACCAAGGAGGTGAAAGATCTATAAACTGAAAATTATAAGACATTGATGAAAGAAGTTGATGAAGACACAAATAAATGGAATGATATTCCATACTCATTGGTTTGAAGAATTAATATTGTTAAAATGTCCACACTACCCAAAGCAATCTATATTCAATATATTCAATGCAATCCCTATCAAAACTCTAACGGCATTTTTCACAGAACTAGAACAAACAATCCTAAAATTTGTATGGAATCACAGAAGACCCCAAATAGCCAAAGCAATCTTGAGAAAGAAGAACAAAGCTGGAGGTATCACGCTCCCTGATTTCAAATTATACTACAAAGTTATAGTAATCAAAACAGCATGGTGCTGGCACAAAAACAGACACCTAGATCAATGGAACAGAATAGAGAGCCTAGAAATAAACCTACACATGTATGGACACTTAATTTACAAGAAAGGAGCCAAGAATATTCAATGGAAAAAGGCCAGGCTCTTCAATAAATGGTACTGGGAAAACTGGACAGCTACATGCAAAAGACTGAAGGTAGACCATTATCTCACACCATACACAAAAATTAACTCAAAATGGATTAAATACTTGAATGTAAGACCTGAAACTATAAAATTCCTAGAAGAAAACATAAGCAGTAAGCTCCTTGACATAGGTCCTAGTAATTTTTTTTGGATCTGACTCAAAAGGCAAGGGAAACAAAAGCAAAACTAAACAAGTGGGCCTACATCAAACTAAAAAGTTTCTGCATAGTGAAGGAAACCATCTACAAAACGAAAAGACAACCTACTAAATAGGAGAAAATATTTGCAAATGATATATTTGATAAGGAGTTAATACCCAAAATTAATACAACTCAACAACAACAAAAACCAAACAATCCAATTAAAAAATGACCAGAGGATCTAAATAGACATTTTTTCAACAGGCACATGAAAAGATGCTCAACATCACTAATCATCAGGGAAATGCAAATCAAAACCACAGTGAGGTATCACCTCACATGGATCAGAATGGCTATTATCAAAAAGACAAGAAACGACAAGTGTTGGAGAGGATGTGGAGAAAAGGGAACCCTCATGTACTGCTGGTGGGAATGTAAATTTATGCAGTCACTATGAAAAATAGTATGGAGATTCCCCAAAAAATTAAAAATAGAATCACCATATGATCCAACTGTTCCACTTCTGGATATTTATCCAAAGAACGTGAAAATACTAATTCAAAAATATATTTGCACCCTATGTTCATTGCAGCATTATTCACAATAGCCAAGATATGGAAGCAACCTAAGTGTCCATCAATGGATGAATGGATAAAGAAAATGCATATATATATAAAATAGAATACTACTCAGCCATAAAAAAGAATGAAGTCTTGCCATTTGCAACAATGAGTGTATTATGCTAAGTGAAATGTCAGACACAGACAAATATCATACGAATTCACTTATATGTGGATTGTAAAAAAAAAAACAAATGAACAAACAAAACAAAACAAAAACAAATTTATAGATATAGAGAACAGATTGGTGGTTACCAGAGGAAAAGGGGGTTGGGGAGTGGGTGAAATGGGTGAAGGGGGTCAACTGTATGGTGATGGATGGTAACTAGACTTTTGACAGTGATCACTGTGTAGTGTATACAAATATCAAATTATAATGCTGTACACCTGAAACAATTTGACTTCAATTAAAAAAAAAGTAGGGGCTGGCCCCATGGCCGAGTGGTTAAGTTCACGTGCTCCGCTGCAGGCGGCCCAGTGTTTTCGTTGGTTCAAATCCTGGGTGCTGACATGGCACTGCTCATCAAACCACGCTGAGGCAGCGTCCCACATGCCACAACCAGAAGGACCCACAACGAAGAATATACAACTATGTACTGGGGGGCTTTGGGGAGAACAAGGAAAAAAATAAAAAATCTTAAAAAAAAAAAAAGTAAATCATCTGCAAACTCAAAAAAAAAAAAAAGAAAATTGCCCGAAAGAAGGAAAACAATCTACAAAAGAAAGGATATACCATGTACCAGGAAAAATGACACTTGATGGATCAATACTGTGATATAACCTGACTGAGATATTGAGCTTCAAGGATAAGCAATTCTGTGGGCACCAGGAAGAGGAAAGAGATGTGGAATAAAAGAGAGCCTCCACTATTATCTATTTCCTTCAAAAATTGGAAGCAAATATAGCAAAATATTAGGATTAGATAGATTTGGAGGGATGAGTATATGGGTTTTTAAAAATGTTATTCTCTGCACTTTGATATACATTTTAAATATTTTATAATCAGGAAAAAAACCCAGATTCTTCAGTCTTTCTTGATTTCTCATTTGCGTTTAAACTCTTCTTAAGCCTAGAAATAAAGAAATTAAAAAAAAATCAGGTTGGCTTCAGAGTTAAAAAAACAAACTACAAATACTTCAATTATGAATGTTTTCAAACACATAGATAAAAAATAGAGAATAGTATACTGTTTGCATATACTTTATACTCATCACTCAACTTAATCACATAGCAACTTTCTGCTGTTCTTTTTATTTTTTAATCTTGATGGGAAAGACAGTCACATGCATGCAGACTTTTGACCCTTGCTCAGTTGCATGAGAACGGGCCGTGGGCCTAGAACACTTTTTTACCAAGAAATAAAGAGCCTATTCAGCCTGTGCTGGGCTATCGCCTTGTGTGGGAATATCCTTCCCTGTTTCAGACTCAATGTGTGCTCCTTTGTTCTGCTTAAGCATGTGATCATATGGCACTGGGCCAACACCATTACTATATCCATTCCTGGCAGGGAGGGAAAGGGGTCCTTTGCTTGCAGTACAAGAAGGGTGCATACAGATCATTGCTCTGCATTAGCTGCAGGCTGGGACTTGCTTACCATGGGGGACCAATGCCCACTACTGAAGCTGATCTTGCTGTTTCTTCCCTATGTGAGTAAAGTGTTGTTCCATCCAGTGCCTACGTGAGTTGTGTCTCTCTTGGCAACCCTGGCATCTACAAACCAAGGAGTAGACATTCTGGGATTGCTGCTCTTGGTGGCAGGCATTCTTCAGCTATTTACTATCCTCCATGCAGTAGGACTCCTCCCCTGGAGGAGGTAACAGGTGTCATTTGCTTGACAAATCCATTTCCATGCTCACTCATTTTTTTCCTTGTGAAATTTTAAAAAGCAAATCCCCAACATAATCACTTCACTTGTAAATACTTCAGTAGTTGTCTGTAAAGATATTAATATAACCACAATTTCATTAGCATACTCAACAAAATTAACAATTGTTCTTTAACATTATTTATACCCTGCTTGTATTCAATTACTCTCGATTGTGGCCTCAGACTTTTAAATAACACTTAATGCCAGAAGACAACAGGACAATGCCTGCAATCTTTCAGGGAAAGAAAACATGGTCTGAAAAATTTAAACTTGTTCATTTTGTAGTTCGGGCAAACATCCCATAAGATAAAAGAACTCAAAGATTATAGCACTCATAGATATTTTAAAAATACACTTATGGATAAATTTCTAGTGAAGTGAAAGATGAATGGGAAAACTTGGCAAAAGGGGTGATGAGAACAATGAACTCATATATATATTTAAGATCATACAAATATAGAATTATGAATACAGAGTAGTCTCTAAAATGTTATATGTGTTGACAAAGTTAAAAAAAATCACAAGGAGCTGGAAAGGGAGCTGACTTCCTCATTCCTTATTGGAGTCATTTGATACTGTCTAAAATTGAAACATGAAGTTAACAGAAACATAACTTCCACGTTTTAATGTTTTTCACTAACTTTAATTTTAAAGGCCTCTTTTAGGAGCTAATATCTTTTGTGGTAAAATAGTATTTCTCTCAGCTTCAGTAGTTACATTAGTTTCATTTCAGTTTTTTAAATGTTAAATCCAACTAACATACAGTTCTACCTTTTAAATTAAAATACCATATGGGTTTCCCATTTGATCACCTTTGATCCCTTCACCCATATACTCACCAGGAAAAATGTCTGTAGTGGAGTTCTTAATGGCAGTAATAGTTATTTCAGGGTGATGAAATTTGGGGTGATATTTTATATTCCTTGGTGTTTACTGAATTTATTGAGTTTCTAAAAAAAAATGAGCACACCTCTTTTTACTACAGGCACTAAAGTTATTATTTTTTCATACCAGCATTATTAGAAAAGCAAATAATCATGATCATGTCGGCAGTGCTGTTGCTGCTGCTTTCACCTGCTGGCTTCTGCTGAGATTTACGATAGAAGTTATCGCTTATTTCAAGAAACATTGATGTTCAGAAGAATATTTAAAAAGAATAAGCAACTACTTCACACCTACTAGGGTGGCTATTAAAAAAAGACAATTGGAAAATAGCAAGCATTGGTGAGAATGTGGAGAAACTGGAACCCTCATATATTGCTGGTGGGAATGTAAAATAGCGCAGCAGCTGTGGAAAACTTTGGCAGTTTCTCAAAAAGCTAAACAGAGAATTACCATATGACTCAGCAATTTCACTCTTAGGTACATATCCACAAGATTTTAAGTCAGGGACTCAAACTTATGCCAATGGTCACTGCAAAATCATTCACAATAGCCAAAAGACATAAACAACCCAAGTCTCCATCAGCAGAGGAAAGGATGAACATACACGAATATCCATACATGTCACTCAGCCATAAAAAGGAATGAAGTTCTGACACATAGTACAACATAGATGAACCTTGAAACCATTACGCTAAGTGAAACAAACCAGTCACAGAAGGACAAATATTGTACAATTCCACCTTTATGAGATATCTAGACTAGGCAAATCCTTAGAGACAGAAAGATTAGAGGTTACCAGGGATTAGGGGGAAGTGGAATTGGGGGATGCCCGCTTAATCTACAGAGTTTCTGTCTGGGGTGATGGAAAAGTTTTGGAAATAGGTGGTAGGGAAGGTTTTACAACATTGTCAACATAATTAATGCCACTGAATTGTACATCTTAAAATGGCAAGTTTTATGTTATACGTTACCACAACAAAAAAAGATTATGCAATGAACTAGATTCATTCAGCATAAAAATGTTCATACAGAAATAGTATTTTATATTGCTTCACAAACTAACAATGCTATATATAGCTATAAGTTTATACTCTTTAATCCAATATTTTCAAAATTTATGAAGATGTTCATTATGGCATCATTTATGATAGGAAAAAACTGGCAGCAACCTAACAACCAATAACAGCTGAATGGTTTAGACAAATTATGGTAATTAACTTCATGGGAAATTAGACTGTCATTAAAACAATCATAATTATGTAGCAACATGGAAACTATGATATATTAAATAAAAAGGATATTTTGTATATTGTAATTGGAAACACGTAAACGTATGTATACTTTAGGCGGGAAAACACCTCAAATGATAACAATTAGGCTAAGGTTGTGGGATGGAGTAATTTTTAAATGTTTCCTGTTTTCCATGCTTTCTGTAATTTTGATATATTTTACTAAAAATGAGTTAGGAAATTAGACGGTACGATCACGAGCTCACAGCTCCAGTGTGGTGGTGACTGACATCACCCCATTCCGGGGTCCCTTTGAGTTTCGACAGCCTACTCGCCCTGGTTTCAGGCCCACGTGCAGCTCCCCGCTGGCCTCACACTAGAGGCTTTGGCGCGGACCATGGTCCTAGCGAGGACCGCGTGCTGCCGACGCTCTTCTGGTCCCAAATACTGCATGAGACACACACTAAGAAATTATTTGTTGTTTATCTAAGCTGCAAACATAACTGGGCGTCCTGTATTTTCATTCGCTAAATCTGGGAAGCCTACCTCCTCACCCACATCGCCTCATCGCTTTCCTCCCACCGCTCTCTCCTCTCCACCGTCACTCTCCTTGGGGCCCTGGGGCCACCCTCCGCGTCCCGCCTCCTCTGAGACCAGACTCCATCCCCACTTGCCGAAGCCAGGTCTCCCTACCGCATCCTCGCGGAAGAGCCCCTGTTCTCTTCTCCGTCCCCGTCCCAGAACCCAGAATCTTCTCCACACCCTATCCCAGACACGGCCCGGCAGAACCAGGTCCCCGCCCCCCGATCCCGTTTGGCTCCACGGACCTCGGGTCCCCACCCCCCACCCCGTTGCTGCCTGGCGGATCCCCGTCCCCGCCCCTCGACCCGGCGGGCGCGGCGCGCAGGCGCAGACAGGACGGGAGGGCGCGGGCAGAATGGGGACTGCAGCGGCGGCAGCGGCGGCGGCCGGGGAGGGGGCGCGCAGTCCGAGCCCTGCCGCTGTGTCGCTCGGCCTGGGCGTGGCCGTCGTGTCGAGCCTGGTGAACGGGTCCACGTTCGTGCTGCAGAAGAAGGGCATCGTGCGCGCCAAACGGCGAGGTAGGGCGGGGGGCTGTGCTCGGTGGGGGGAGGAGGGAGCAGCCGCTGGGTGGTGTGGAGGGGAGTGGCCTTGAGTTGCAGGGGGTGATAGGGTCGTCGCTCCGGGCCGGACCGGGGGACAGAGTCGGGGCTTCTCGGAGGGGCGGGCTGCACGTGCGCGAGGCCCTTGGCCCCCTGAAGCGCTGGCACGGACGCGGCCCTGCGCCCCAGAAGCGTCTCTGCCGCGGCCGTGTCTGGTCCTTAGGCAGCTCCAGAGGTGGCCCGGGAATCACCCGGTGCGCCCTGAGCGATTGTAGGTGGGGCCGCCCCTGTTTTTCTCCCTTCCCAGCGGCCAGAGAGGCCTTGTTCGGTTTTACAGGGTTTCTCCAGCCGACAGCTTTCCCCCTCCCAGACCCTCCTTCTTCCTCTGCAGCCGCGCAGCCCACCGCCTAGTTCTCTGCTTGGAGCCTGGCCGTCCCTGTCACCCTCATCCACCCGCTCCTAGGGAAACTTTCCTATTTACAGTATCCCCGACATGGTCAGAGCCCAGTGCCTACCCAGAGGAGCGACGGCCTCCCGCCTTTGCTGTGGCCCCGGTCTGGGTGCACTGGGGAGAACAAGACCTACTGGTTTTGCGCCCCCTGCAGTGGCCACGCCAGGACAGGAGAAAGAACTGTGCGCTGGGCGTTCCGGACGGGACAGGCGGCCGCGGGGGCGCTCTCTCTCAGGATGGAGCGAGACTTTTGGTCTGTGCTGTCCTGTGGCTTCTGTTCCTGGGCTCCTTGGTTGAGCCATCTCTGCTTTAGACTTGAACCATTGAGGTGTAAGTCATCTTCAGTGTGAAACAAACGCAAGGCAGATTAAAAAAAAAATGGGCCAACTGAGTGTTTCCCGGGTAGATATACCACCGAGCACCACTCCTTGGTAATGTGGAAAGTGAGAGATGTAAGAGTACTTCTCTTTGCCATTCTCCCTCTGTGCTCAGAGAGGCCTGGGTAGTTTACTGAACTCTAGATGTGGCATGGTTTGCAACTGAGAACAAAGGTTGTGTCCCAGAAGACTAAGAAAATTATGTGGTGATTAGTGTCTTCTCACAAGAATAGTGTTAAGAGCTCTCTGGGAAGGATGAGATTGCCAGATCATGGGTTTGAGAATAAATACACTCATTTAATGGTTCAGATTCCAGAACGTGGGGCAAACTTCTGAGTCCCCTGGATCATGAGCCAGGAATGCCTTCAGGAAAGAAATAAAGAGGCCTACAATCTTGAGTGGAAATATGAGATCATGGATGTTTGTTTAAAGAATTCAACATTGAAGTGAAACCATTGCAGTCTGTACATAAAATCTAAATAAAACCAAGTCTGATTTCCCTAGGTTATAGATGTGTCTTTAAGGTAACAAAAACATCTGGCAGCTGGCACATTCTTCAGGGAGCGCCTGTCAGTTGGAATGGCTTCAGGGGTAGATAAAGTGTTTGCTGTGACTCAGAAATAAACAGTACTTGTGCCCTTGATAGGATGGGTGAGATGAGCATTTCACCTTTGTGGTCATCCTCACAAAAACCCACAACCTCAGTCTGACCGTGAGAAAAACATCCTACAAACCTGAATTGAGGGACAGCATGCAAAATACCTGACCAGTCTTCCTGTCAAGGTCATAAAGCCTGAGAGACTGTCACAGCCAGAAGGAACCTAAGCACACATGATAATAAGATATTAGGTAAAATCTAAGGAAACCTGAATATAGACTTGAGTTAATAAAAAAGAAACAATTATTGAGAAAACTAAATGTGTTGTTTTAGCTCAGTTTGTGTGTTCAATGGAATTAGCAAGAAAATAAAAAACACATCAGCCTAAAGAAAACCATGATTGATGCTGTTGTTTATATGTACACACTATGCCTTTAAATTAATAAAAATGAAAATGTGATATTTGCTGCCTTCATACTTCTCCAATTACCACCCACTGCCACTGATTCAAGCTGGCTAGGTTACTCATGGTGGTGAAAGTTAGACATATTGTTTTGTTTTGATAAATTTAGTTTTGATTTGTTCAACAGATATTCATGAAGCTCTTATGTGGCACACACTGTTGTAGGTATTGAGGATATGCAGTTTTAGAATCTGTTCCCCCTAAAACCTTTTGCCGCTTCTGCTAACAAGCAGCAGAGTTGACCATTGTGAAATGACTGAAATGGAGGAGACAGGAGGAAAGAGAAGGTAGCTGAGAACTGGAGAGTCAAGTTCTTGTGTTAAGGGAGACCTGACGCTTACCCTGTGAAAAGCTCTGTCTCATCGAAAGTTTCAACTTTAAATGAATTGCCACACGGCAGCATTTCTCTCAAGTCTCAGCTTCAGGAGAGCCAAGTTCTGGTCACAGCCCTTCTTTTGGGAGGTTGAGGGGCAGTTTCCTCTCTTACCAGCTTTCACTCACTCTTGAAAGGGCCTTCCTGGGTAGGCCAGGAGCACTCTCCACAACTTGGGCTCAGGGTGGACTGCCTGACTCCTGGGGTGCCTTTGAAGGACTCTGTGGATGGGAAAAGGCAGGGGGGTACCTGGGGCCACAGGTCATTTATAGTATGTCCAGTGTTAGAGCCCAGCAGGGCTTAGTTGACAGAAATAAGGTAATTGTTGGGTGTGAATGTGTTTATGGAAAGCCAGTTGCAACATTAGAGTTTGTCTGCTCATGGGTGAGGATGGCCAGGGAGTCTGTTTGTGTGTGGGGGTGGTCTTCTGCCTTGGAACAGGCTTTGTGGAGATAGTCTCAGCAAAGTCATGTGCTTAAATTTGCTGGAGGCTTTGGAGAATTGCATAGGTAAGTAACTCTATGTAGAATTCCCTACACGAGGATAAACCAGCCAATCTTTAAAATCTCTTTCATCAAAACTGGGAGATACACTTCATACCCATTAGGACTGCTATTGTTAAAAAAAAAGAACCAAAACCCCACAGAAAATAACAAGCATTGGTGAGCATGTGGAGAGTTTGAATCCCTTGTGCACTGTCACTGGGAATGTAAAATGGTGTAGCTGCTATGAAAATAGTATGGCAGTTCTTCAAAAAATTAAACATAGAATTACCATATGATCCAGCAATTCCACTTCTGGATATATACCCAAAAGAAGGGAAAACAGGGACTTGAACAGATACTTGTACACCTGCATTCACACCAGCGTTATTCACAATAGACAAAAGATGAAAACAACCCAAATATCCATTGACAGATGAGTGGATAAACACATTGTGGTATATACATTCAAAGGAATATTATTTAGCCTTAAAAAGGAAGGGAATTCTGACATGTGCTGCAATATGGGTGAACCTTGAGGACGTTATGCTAAGTGAAATAAGCCAGTCAAAAATTCCACTCATATGAGGTACCTAGAATAGTCAGATTCACAGAGACAGAAAGTAGAATGGTGGGTGCAGGGGCTGCTCGAAAGGAGGGTGTAGGGAGTTAGTGTTTAATGGGGACAGTTTCTTTTGGGGAAGGTGAAATAGTTCTAGAGATGGATGGTGGTGATGGTTGCACAACAGTGTGAATGTACTTAATGCCATAGAACTGTACACTTAAAAGTGGTTAAAATGGTAAATTTTATGTTAGGTATATTTTACTACAATAAAGAGATCCTTTTCAGATTTCATAGTCTCCTCCCTGAGAGGAACGCAGACTAGAGATGTAGTTACACTGTTAAGAAACTTGGAAGGAAAGTTTGTTGTCTCATGAGAGTGGAAACTGGGATCCAAGCATCCCACCTACTGGTCCCAAACAATCATACTTTACATTTCTGAAGGGCATGCGCTCCCTGGCTGTGGGGTGTATGCATGCTTTCTCCTTGCCTCTCCTGCCATTCCCAGGCACATACCCAGAGAAGAGATGGACACACGTTGTCTTCACGTCTGCAGCCCTGTGGGTCTACAGTTAGTTCCTGCTGCTTCTGTGAACTCTCAGATGGCATTAGTTGCCATGTGTTTCCTTGGCGCCTGCCCTCAGTCTCCTCCTGCCCCCGAAACCTGTGGGATCATGGCCTGTACACTTGTCTGCATTCCCCTGGATCTCGTCTCTCCAGGGCGCGGCACATGTCCTGTCCGCAGGGAGGCATATGGTGGACACTCAGTAAAGCAATCTAACTGGCCACGAGTAACTGTAGAGTGAAGAGGGTAAAACTGAAACTTAGATTTTCTGAAAAGATTTCAGAGCCTTCTTCTGGTTACTCAGAGCTGCCCTTAGCTGTGGCCTCAGACTGCACAGTTACTTCTAGATCTATAAATCTGTAACCCTATCTGATCTCAATTTAGCCCTGAGGGGAGATCATCGATAAGGAACACGGTGAGAATTAGGAGCATTTGGGTGGCTTGGCAGCCTGTACCTGGTTTACTTGATGCTATTTCGGTAAGAAGAGAAGATAAATGAGGCTGCTACTTACAGAAGACCCATGGTGTCCCAGACTCATGTATCTGTCATGGTTCCATGGGTTAACTGGACTCAGAAGGGCACCTTTCCATTGGGGGGTGTCTCAACCAGTTGCAGTCAGATGGCAGCTGGGCTGGAGTCATCTGAATGTTTGGCTGAACTGGCCATACAAGGTGATTTCTTCACCCACTTGTCTAGGGTAGCTGAAGCAGCTGGGACTTCCCGAGGCCCTTCTCTCTCTTATTCCCTCCCTCCTTGCTTCTCTCCATCTCTCCATACTGTCTGTTCACACGTGGCTACCTTGGGTTTCCCTACAGCATGGTGATCTGGGGGGAATCCTGAGACCCCCGTATATGGTGGGTAGTTTCCCCTAGACCAGACTTTCCAAGGACCCTGGTAGAAGCTGTGTGGATCCTTGTGACCTGGCTTTGGAAGTCTTACAGTGCCACTTCTGCCACATTCTGTTGGCTTCTTCGGAGCCAGTCCAGGTTCAGTGTGGGAGGGGACTGTATAAGGGCATGGATCCCAGGAGGTGTGATATAGAAGAGGAAGTTGAGGCATGCACCAAGATTTGAACCCAGCTTGGGCTGATTTTGAAGGTGATCCATCTCACCCTGCTTGCTGTGGGGAAGGTAAGGGGGAAGATAGACACATTCACCTACAGATAAGGCTTTTCTGATGAGGGACTTCACAATTAATTTGGAAAAAGCTGCTACTCTGATTCTGGGTTATTATAAGTGTAGATAATAACCAAAGACATTAAGGCAAATAAGAATTTCTTCTCATTTTCACTAACATAGTTCAATTCCTACATGAAGTAAATACCCCTTGGTCTTATTGAACTGCTGTTAGAGTATATTTTTCCCTCAAAAATATTTAAAGATATAGTATAAAACATAATATAATTTATATTTTCAGTCCTTTAATGAAGTCCTTAATGAGTAAACAATCCTTTTTTTTTAAAAGAATTTTTAACCATGAGGGACTAGAAAAGACCACTTATCAAAAAAAATATGCTTGGGGCCACCGGGCTTGGTGGCGCAGCAGTTAAGTTCACATGTTCTGCTTTGGTGGAGTTTAGAGTTTAAAACTCTAAATAGAGTTTTAACAGTGATAATGTTTTTTATAAACTGTATATGTATATATATATATATATATACGGGCAAATTGATTTCCAGAAATATCATACCTATTTGCATTCCCATCAGCCATGCTTCAGAGAGGCATGCTTATATTTAAGTGTAATGGAAATATAAACATATATTCCAAATGTTTTTTTCCATTATTTTGGGTTCTCTCTGCTACAGTTCCTTTCTAGCAGTCATGACTGAGAGCTCATTATCATAGATTTTCCTGTTCACAGCAACAGAGCACACTAGCACGTGTATAAATACCTGACATCTACCTGTTGTGGAAGCAGGAATCGCCACCTTGGCTCTTCTACTCTCAGGGTGTGTGGGGGCAACCTTCACCTGTGTGGGGGAGGAAGGAGAGAGAAGACTCTGTGGTTAAGATGAGGATGAAGAGAACACTCTTTAAGGACAGACACCATGCCTTGGCAGTCTTCATAAGTCTTTGGATCCACTAAGGACTGTATACATGAGTGGTTCTAGTAAATATTTGACAGATGGAGAGACTAAGGAAATAGAATACAACTGTTGCACTGAGCTTCTCTGGAGGGAGTAGGGTGAGGAAGGAGAATGTGTTTATATAGCCAGACTCTTATTTTCCCTTTGAAACACAGAATGTCGTTTCCCATAGAAACTGTGAGAAACTTTATCACAGCTATGTTATTGCATTGTGGTCAGTATTGTATGGGTTAACCTTAGTTAAACTAAGAAGTTTAACTGTTTATAAACTATTTCTTTTAAAAAAAATATTGGGGTATAATTATGTAGGGTAAGCTACACAGATCTTAAGGGTACAGTTTGACGAGGTGTGACAAATAAATATACCTGTGTAACCAATGCCCCTGTAAAGAAATTGATTATTGCCATCACCTTGAAAGTTACTCATGTCCTATTTCATTCTCTCCTCCCCACACCAGAGTGCCTACTCTTCTGATACCCATCTTCATAGAGTGAATTAACTTTGCCTGTTCTTGAACTGCATCCAAATAGAATCATACAGTAGTATTTTCTTATGTCTTCTCTCTCTCTCTTGTTTTTTTGGCTGAGCATGGTTTGAAGATTCTTCATTCCTTATATTGCTGAGTAGTGTTTCATTGTTTGGATATACAACAATTTGCTTATCTATTTTCCTGTTGAGGAACGTTTTGGTTGTTTACAAATTTTTGCTCTTTGAATAAAGGTGCAATGACAATTCTTATGTAATTTTTTTTTAAGGAAGATTAGCCCTGAGCTAACATCTGCCACCAATCTTCCTTTTTTTTTTTTTTTCTTCTTAGGAAGACTGGCCCTGAGCTAACATCTATGCCCATTTTTCTCTACTTTATATGTGGGATGCCTACCGCAGCATGACTTGACAAATGGTGTGTAGGTCCATACCTGGGATCCAAACTGGTGAACCCCAGACTGCTGAAGCAGAATGTGCAAACTTAACCGCTGCACCACCGGGCTGGCCTCTCTTATGTAATTCTTTTTAAGACAATGTTTTCATTTCTTTTGGGTGAATACCTTGGAATAACAGTGCTGGATCATTGGAGTAATTATATATTTAAATTTTAAGAAACTGCTAAACGTTTTGCCACTGTAATTATATCATTTTACACTCCTGTTAGCAATATATGAGAATTTCAGGTGCTCCACATTGTTGTCAACATTTGGTGGTGTCATCTGTTTAATTTTGGCCATTTTGGTGAGTGTAGAGTGGTATGTCACTGTGATTTGTAATCTACATTTCCCTAATACCTGATGATATTGAGCATCCTTTGTTGAGTATATTGGCCATTTGTATATGCTCTTTTGTGAGGTATCTTTCCAAGAGTCTTACCTATATTTTATTGGGTTGTATCTTTTTATTATTGATTGTTAGTTTACACACACACACACACACACACACATGTTCTGGTTACAAGACTTTTGTCAAACATAGGGATTACAGATCTTTTCTCTGTGGCTTGACTTTTCATTTTCTTAATGGTGCCTTTTGAAGAGCAGAAAGGTTTAATTTTGCTTTAGTCTAACTTATCCTTTTTTTTCTTTGTGGTTGGTGCTTTTTGATTTCTGTCTCTTCACAGGTCACAGTGGTATCCTCCTGTGTTTTCCTCTTGGAGTTTTAAAGCTTTAACTTTTACCTTTAGATCTGTAAACCGTCTTGAGTTAAATTTATGTATGGCTGAGGCATGAGTCAGGGTTCCGTATTTTCCTACTGATACCCAGTTGGTCCAGCACCATGTAGAGGAGACTTCCCCACTGGGCTGCACTGCTGCTTCAGTCCATGAGCTGACTGCACATCTGTGGGTCTGTTTCTGAATGCTGTTCTGTTTCATTGCATATGTTTGTCCTTCTGCCAGTACCACACTGTCTTGATTATGTAGTTTTATAGTAAATCTTAAAATTAGATACTATAAGTCCTACAACTTTGTTCTTCTTTTTCAAGATTGCCAAACTATTTCTTTCGGAAAATAATTTCTACATATCTAATAACCAACATAGAAAAGAACTTCAAGTACTAATCCATTCGTAAATTGGTGAATTCCAGTG